GTAGATAAGGACAGACGGTAATGCAGGAGAAGAAAGTGAAGAGGTTGACCCCAAAATTTAGATTTGAACTTGGTGGGTGTCAGGAGCCAGTGAAAGACCCCCAGTGTGGGGAGACTCTCACTCACGTCTCGGGATAACACGACCCCCCTCACCAGTAACTCACGAGAGACTGTCCTTGCTGCAATCACACGAGGTTTAATGACAAGACGACAAGACGGAAACCAGTGCACTGGGGTCAAGACTCAACCCACGCAGGGGAAGAGTTCGACCCCGAGCAGCTGGGAGAAGGGGTTTTTAAGGGAAGAAACCACAGCCCAGTAATCCGAAAGGGGTAGGGAGGTCCAATGATGGTCACAAGGGGGCAATTCCCTGTTCCTCAAGGTTATTCAAGATTATAATCTGCTAGTTCCTGAAACACAGCACCCCAAAAATACCAATGATAATCACAAGGGGGGAAACTCCCTGTTTCTCAAGATTATCCTCAAGATTATAATCTAACTTTATCTTCAGCTAGTTCCAGAAACACTGAAGCGGCTAATCCTAGATTTCTGAGTCTTCCCTCCCTGCTTAGATTTTTGGCTCTGTGTTTTCCTGCTAGGGGGATCTGGATTTATCCAGGTCTTTCACCAGCAGAAACAAATGTTCCATATCTCCAGAGAGTCACATCAGTGGCTTGGTTCAGCTAGGAAAGGCCAGGCCCCGGGGAAGGGGGTCCATTTGTCCCCTCTTGGGTGTTCAGCACCTGGAGATGAAATTAAGAAACTGCCGATATGGCTGTTTTTTATTGCAGACATGAGAGAGAGAGAGACAGAGAGAGAGGCCAGAGGCATCTGGAAGAGTCCAGAGCAGAGGGAAACAGGAACAAGCTGGACAAGTGGAGCCCTGGAGAGAGTGGAGACTGAGATAGGCAAGGGATAGAGAGAGAGGATGGGGAATGGGAGAAGGGTAGAGGGTATGAAGGATGGATGGCCGTCTGACGGGAGAAGGGCCAGGGTGCCAGGGTTTTGGTTTTTTTTTTAAAAGATTTATTTATTATCTATACCATGTTCTGTCTGCATATATGCCTACAGGACAGGAGCGGGCACCAGGTCTCCTTCAGGATGGTTGTGAGCCACCATATGGTTGCTGGAAATTGAACTCAGAACCTCTGGAAAAACAGTCAGTGCTCTTAACTGCTGAGCCATCTCTTCAGCCCTCAGAGTTTGGAAATGTACAATAGTACTTGTGTGAATTAGGATGGAGGGAGCCTCAAGGCCAGCATGGGCTTCAGAGTGCTGCTACAGGTACATGTCAATGGAGAGCTATTATGTACCTTCTGCCAGGTAAGGAAAATGTCTTCTTTTGGCAGATGACAACTGGTTTCAAAGTTGCTGAGGAATGCTGGCTTTTATCTAACTGCCAGGAACCCTCCTGTAGTCCAGGTTGAGCTGGGCTTAGACTTGGATAGAGGCTTGCCCTTTTAGAGGCAGGGAAATATTAAGTAACCTTTGGACTTGACAGGGGCAACCTTTAAATGTTTGATTTTGCTGGGTAGTGGTGGAGCAAGTCTTTAATCCCAGCATTAGGGTGACAGAAGCAGGTGGATCTCTGAATTCGAGGCAAGCCTGGTCTATAGAGTGAGTTCCAGGACAACCAGGGCTACACAGAGAAATGGTCACAAAAAACAAAACAAAACAAAACACAAAAACCCCAACAACAACACCTTTGCCCCCAAAAAGTTTGATTTTAAGATATGAAGTGAAGGGTGGGCTAATACTGTCAGACACACGCTGCTTTTCTGATTTTATTTTACTTTGTTTTTAGATTTATTTATTTATTATGTATACAACATCCTTCCTCCATGTATGCCCACACACCAGAGGAGGGCACCAGATCTCATTACAGATGGTTGTGAGCCACCATGTGGTTGCTGGGAATTGAACTCAGGACCTCTGAAAGAGCAGCCTGTTCTCTTAACCACTGAGCCATCTCTCTCCAGCCCCTTATTTTACTTTTTGAGACAAGATCTCACTATGCAGCTCTGGCTGTCTTGGAACTCACTGTGTTAACCAGGTGGTTCTCCAATTCACAGATAGGCCTCTGCCTCCTGAGGACTAGGGCTAAAGAGGGGCCCCACCCTGCTTCTTGTTTATTTGAGACAGGAACCTCAGTGTCCCAGGCTGACCTTGAATTTGTAAATGACCTTGAGCTTTTGACCCTCCCCCCCCCCAGTTCCCCAGGGTTGGGATCCTTGAACCTCCCCACCCTGCAGCTGTTTTTGTTTTTGTTTTCCAGTGCCAAGTAGTAAATCCAGGGCTTTCTGGAAAACAACCAAAATTCATTACATGTTTAAGGGATGAACTACTAGACAACAGAACAACTATCATTTGAAAAATATCTGTAGCTCTTGTTCCAAGAAATAAAACCGAACACAGTACCCTGCATACTTAATCCCAATGCTTAGGAGGCAGAGGCTGGGGATTGCTCTGAATTAAAGGAGGCACAGAAGTCTTTGTGCACACAGATAAGCACCGGGGCAACCCAGAATGTTAAAGTGCACACAGTTCTATGAAATACCTGTGTCTGCCCAGAAGTCTGCAATGGACTGTCCTCTGGTGCTGCGTGACTAAAGATCTTTCTGGCACCGGATCCTCCACAGACCCTTATCGTAAATTTATTTTTCTCAGTCAATCTACAGAACCTGATTTTACAAAGAATTTCAATATTTCCTTCTATTTGCTTTACTTTGTTTCTCAAGGGGATGGATGTAAGCTTTGTTGTGAATGTGGAACAAAGCTAATTATCACCAGGATGATGTTCACCAAACTGCGCTCTGCTTAAATATGCTGGAAATAAACCACTCCAGGAGTTTGAACCAACATCGGCCGGAATTGTATTCAGCCGAACTGCCTTCTTGCCTCACACACATTGTTTCTCTGCGACTGTGAAAGTCATTGAGCCACTCCCGAAAGCCTGGGCTACCTGGTGAGCTCAAAGCCAGCCTCCAGAGCTACAGAGAAACCCTGTCTGGAAACAAACACAAACAAAAACAGAAAGAAGAGAAAAAGAGGAAGGAGATACAACCCAGAAGTCAGACCTTAAAATTAGGTTCAAGTTTTGATTCTAGCTGGGCAGTGGGGACACACACTTTAACCCCAGCACTTGGGAGGCAGAGGCAGGCCGATATCTGTGAGTTCAAGGCCAGCCTGGTCTACAGGAGAGCCAGGACAGTAACACAGAGAAACCCTATCTTGAAAAACAAACAAAACAAAACAAAAAAGAAAGACAAAACAAGAAGAAGAAGAAGTTTCGATTCTACACGCTCAAGTCTTCATTTCCACACAGATGCTCTGGTAGACAGCCATGTTCGCGTCCTCCCGCCCCCATCCCTGCATCCTGATTATCTCTGCCTGGCACTGGCACTGTTGTATCTGTGAGAAAGCCCGGCTTCTCTTCTTGTTTCTCCACTCACCCTTTTTTTTTTTTTTTTTTTTTTAAGGCAGGGTCTCACTCTGGAGCTCACTATCCTGGAACTCACTCTTTAGACCAGACTGGTCTCAAACTCGCAGAGGCCTGCCTCTGCCTCTCAGTGCTGAACTTAGCAGTGGGGTGGGTACCACCATCCCACCATGCGGGGGCACCTTCCCGTCAATTTAACAAGTGGGACTATGGGGTGCCCTGGACAGGGTTTAAGATGATAAAGTCAAACCAGGGCCCACTAGGATTGCACAGAGGTTCCAGGAGAGACCCTGAAACTATGGAGAAAGTCCTTCCAAGCTGCTGACTCAGCTGAGAGACCCTGACCAGCCTCCTGTACAGGGCACCTTTCTTCACCTATGTCCCCATAACTCTCCCTTTTATCTTACCTCAGACCTACCCTGCTTCCTCAGACTCGGGCATGAGACTAAAAATGTGAGACCTCGGATGGATGCTTGGTGTCTCTGCTGTCCTTGGTGGCCATCTTCCCGATGCCAGAGGGCTCCCCTGTAAGTCACCCCACTAGTTGCTCTCACAGGCACCAAGGACAAGCTTCACAAGTATCTGTTTAGAATCCAACACAAATGTCCCTCCTCCTTTGGTGGCCCAAGAGTCAACACTCACCATCAGACCAACCACAGGTCCTCTTACAAACATCTTCAGTGTGTTCATTCCAGTTAAGATCCCCCCCCCCCAACACACACATTCTGCAGGACCAGAAGTCAGGGGGTTCATTTGTTTGTTTGTTTTTAGGATTTCTTATCTTATTTTCATTTAATTACTTAGATGGTTTGCTGTTATTTTGTTTGAGACTATGTAAACAGACTCACCTTAGACTTGTGCAATCCTGACCCTCCTGCCACAGCATCCTGCAGGCTGGGATTTCAGGCACCTCTCAGTCTCCTTAGATTTCAGTCTCCCAATCTGAGGGTCACCCACAGAAACCCAGCAGGAGGAAACCAGCCTGCTTGGATTATAGACATTCTTCCTTCACCCTTCCCTTCCCCTGGTTAGAAGAGACCACACCCACCTAACCTGTTGTCACAGCTGCTGGCTCCTTCTCCATCCTGAGAGACCCTAGACTGACGCTTGAACATAGCGGCCAGGATGCCAGTTCATTCCAGTTTAAGTGTCTGTAATGGCTCTTCAGTTTCCAAGGCAGAGTTACATATGGTAAAGCTGGACAGGACTTAGTGACCATAGAGTGCGACATCAGGTTAGGAGATTAAATAATTGTCCTGGGCTAGGGAGACAGCTCAGCAGGTAAAAGTGCTTTTTGTGTTAGCCTGATTCTGAGTGCGATCCCTGGACCCAGGGAAGGGTGGAATGAGAAAACACGCTCACGCAGTAAAACTTACAAAGAAGTAAAAAATTGCCCCCAAACTCGAAAACCTTTCTCTCCTTTCTACTTGAGCTCTGGAATTAGGGTCAAACCCATCCTGATAGGTATGGGGTCATCATAGCCACGCCCTTTAATCCTGGCAGTGCTGAGCCAGGCCTTCTGAACCTGCACCGAGCCAGCCAGCTGTCCCGCAGTGGTGAAGATGGCAGAGGAAGAGGGCAGTGTGGAGGAGGAGGATGTGTTCCTAGCATTCGCCCAGGGTCCCACTCCTCCTCGGGGGCCCCTGCGGCGTGCTCTGGACAAAATCTTTCTCACCTTCCTGGTCCTCTTCCTGACTCTGCTGATGCTGGAGGCTGCTTACAAGCTGCTGTGGCCCCTGCCATGGGCGACGTTTCGGGACTGGCTCCTGCAGACACCCGAGGAGGAAGGGGCGCTAGAACTCTGAGCGTCGTCCTGTAGACACCCCGTCTTTGCGACTGAGGTGAGAAAAGGAGACTTCAGAGAGACTGGGGTGGGAGGGATAGCTTAGGCCAACATTCTAAGATCCTTTCTGTTCATGCATACGTGAGTGGGTGTCTGTGGCTGTGCAGGCGCCCAGAGGCTAGAGGGTGCTGGATCCCCTGGGGCTGGAGTTACAGGAAGCTGTAAGTGGGTCCTGGGACCCAAACTCATGTCCTCTGCCACCCCCCCACTTTTAACTTCATATACACATACAATGTATTCAGATCATATTCATTCCTCAGACATCCCCTCTAACTCCTCCAGGATCCCCCTCCCTCCCTATAAGTTTAAAAAAATTAACTTTTTAGTCAGCATACGAGTGATGGGCTGTTTCATTGTGACATTGCCATATACATCATTGTGTTTCCTGCCTCCTCCACTGCCATTCGATCCCAATCCTTGCTGGTCCCCCAGGGCCTCGTGCCGCTTTGTCACCTGTATCCCATTTCCCTCCCTTGAGTCGCCCTCTAGACTGCTTCTCCCCTTTCTAATCGCATGCCCTACACATATGAGCTCACATACGAACACACATGAACACATACACACACATGCAAACACACACACCTCTCTGTATACACACGGTCTATAAAGTTTTAAATCCAGATTCCCACATATGAGAATAAAAGGGATAATCTATTCTTTAGAATATAGCTTAGTTTTCTTGAGTGATTTCCATTTCCTCTGCTTTCCTTCTAATGTCACAACTTAAGTTTTCTTCCCAGCTGAATAAGACCCAGTGTATATCTGTCCCACATTTCTTTGTTGATGGACATTTAGGCTGCATCTATTTTTTTGGCTTTTGCGAGCACTACAGCAATAAACATGGATGTATGTGCAGGCGCCTCTGTGGTGTTCTGCCTTAGGCTTCTTCAACCACCGCTCCGGGATTGACACAGCTGGGACAAGTTTGATCTCAGGCCGCGCATATGTCCAGAAGTGATAATCTTGGCCCACCTCAAACTGGGCTATAGAAGGGTTTCTGGCAGATAGATAAAAGTCAGAATTCCTCAGGAATTTGTGAATCAGGTTCCTGTCTGCAAAGAGGACTGATTTCCCTTGCCTCTGGAAAAAGGGACAGATGGCTCTCCATTGACATGAATGCTTGGTGTCTCTCAGCATATAAGAACCCATGCTAGGGCTGGAGAGATGGCTCAGGGGTTAAGAGCATTGCCTGCTCTTCCAAAGGTCCTGAGTTCAGTTGCCAGCAACCACATGTTGGCTCACAACCATCTGTAATGGGTCTGGTGCCCTCTTCTGGCCTGCAGACAGACAGAATATTGTATATGTAATAAATAAAAATAAATATTTTTTTAAAAAAAGAACCCATGCTAGCCCCCAGGTTCCTACAGTCCCCATTCATAAATACCTGTTGTCTCTTTCAAAGCTCCATTGCTAACATCCTGGCCCCCCTCACCTCTTCCCTAAACTGCCAGACCTGCTCCAGCTCCGGGTTTCCATACCCCAGCTGCTCATCCTTCTTATAACCTGGTACTGGGGACCAGCATGGCACTCACAACTCATCCCAGGGGCCAGTAGCCCTCTTCTGGTCTTTGTGAGCATTAGACATATATACATTCATACACGCAGGCGAAACACCCACAGTTCTGAGTAGCTGCAATTATTGCAAGAACAAAAGTATGCAAACAGCACAAACCCATGTTTATATTTATTCATTATGTACTGTATCCTGCCGTTTTCACCTCCATTACTCCCTCACACCCCCTCTCACTCCCATGGAAGATGTTTTCCAAGTCAGCATTTTCCCCATCGTCCTGCGCCTTCCTTAGTTCCATCCCCTTATTCCATGTTACCGCAGCCTAGGACTTGCAGTTAGTTTGCTTAATTACTAATTTAAAAAATATTTGTTTTACTTTGTGCTTATGTTCTGCCTGCATGTATGTTCATCACGAGCATGCCTATTGGAAGGCTGGGAACGGGGTTACAGGTGATTGAGTCTTTATGTAGGTCCTGAGAACCTGCGATCGTGCGCGAGGCACACAGACAAAAACAGAAAATAAAAATTGTGAAAAGATGGGCAACCTTCATTTCAGGCATCCACTCAGGAAACCCAATGGTATGGAAATTAAATCCTTCATTATCTTTAGAGTCCCGTTAACTATTGAAGAGCTTTTCTGTTTCCCAATTTAAATGCCATAAGCTCAGAGGACTGGACAGGAAGCGAGGTGGGTTTTTTGTTTTGTTTTTTAAGCGAGTTTGAGGTTCGGGTCCTCTGCGAACCACTGGACTTCTTGGCTCCGCGAATAGGCAAGATGTCCAACACCTGAGGAACGTGGAAGGCTGCAGAGGGGTGACCATAGCGCGAAGGGTGTTCACTTCTGGCTTCCTCAGCAACACACGTGCGGGCCTCGCCTCCCTAGCCGGCGGGCGTCACAGCGGATCTCCCGGACCTCTTTTCTCCGCAGCTCCGTGAGGAGACGCCCCGAGGGATTTTATGAGCCTCTTTTCGTCTTCCGCGCTCCCAGCGGCAGTTTACGCGGCTTCTCCACAAGCCCGCGAGGTTGTCCCGCGCCCTGCCTCCGGCCCTGCGAACCCCACCGTGAAGCACAGCCCTCTGGTCAGGATGACCCCCGGAGGAACAGAGGGCCGGCCGCCACGTCGGTGGTGCCGCGTGGGCAGCGCTCACCGACGGCAATAATAACAATACCTCACTTGCGCGGCGTGCTGTGCTCATTCGCGTGCATGTGCGTCCGCCCCTGAGAGAGAGACCGGTAGCGAGTGTCAGGCTTACACCAACCCAGCACAGGAAAAAAAAAATATTCCGTTCCCTGGGGCCGTGCACAGCTGTAGAGAGAGCCCAGCACTTTAGGTACTGTGCGGGTTTTTTTTTTCCCCTTCTAGGAGCCGGGGTTAGATCTTCCCCGCCCTCGACCAGACTGTGTCGGGGAAGCCCAAGGCAGGAAGATTCCGACTGACCAGTCGGAAGGCACCTCGGCAGGCACCAGGTGCAGAGGCAGAGAGCTCCACGCCTTCCCCGAGGAGGGTTGTGCAGGCCAGGCCGGTGCCGTACGGCAACATGGCGCACCCCATACTGGAGTGCCAAAGCCCCGCCCCCCGAGCGTCTGCGCACTGGAAGCGGCATCCTAGGTGGGCGGGTCACGCGACGCTTCCGGCTAACGAGAGGACTAGGTGCCGTACAGCAACATGGCCGCCCGCAGGTGCTACTGGCGGAAACTCTACGGCTTCCGGTCCGTAGTGGGGCCTACTGTGGGGGTTGGGGGAAAAGGAAGGCGGAGGGAACCATGCGAGGTTCTGTGATCCGCTGTGAGGGGATCCTCGAGAGACCGTTTCAGAGGTGGGGGCCGGGCCGTGCGCGGAGCGGGGCTGACGGGGCAAGAGTGGCGAGGGCGAGGGATCGGCTGGGCCTGAGTGCCGAGCCTGGAGGGGCTAGCTGTATGGTACCTTGCCAGCCCCGAGGAGGAGTGAGGCGGCCTAGGGCTGAATTGGGGGAGGGGGTAGGTCTCAGCTTCTTGGCGGGAAGCTGAGACTGGAGACTGGCCCCACCTGCGGCTGGGAGCCCAGATTATCAGGAGTGCCCAGTGGTGAGCTCGCTGTCGGTTACGAGTCAGAGAATGGGAGGAACCGGGGTGCGGTGAGAGGCAGGGGACTTAAGGTGGAAATCTCCAGCCTAAAGTCCAGGTTGAAGGAATTCCAATGGAAGATGGAACATGGACAGAGCTGTAGGAGGGGAGAGGGGACTGATTGCGCTTCACCTGGCAGTCAAGAGTTGGAGTTAGGGAAAAACTCGCAGAAGCCAGGCGGTGGTGGCGCACGCCTTTAATCTCAGCATTCGGGAGGCAGAGGAAGGGGGAATCTTTGTCAGTTCAAGGCCAGCCTGGTCTACTCAGAGAATCCCTGTCCTGAAAACAAACAAACAAACAAACAAAAAGGAAAAACTCGGAGTGAGACGGTTGTCGTGTTTGAGGACGGAGGTGGCACCGACGGGGTGTTGGTTTTTGTGGACGGAGTCAGGGAAACTCAGGGGCCAGCGTGGGACCTTTTACTGGAATGGGGCGTAAGAAAGAACTTTCCAGCTGACAGAGGGAGGGGAAAACAAAACTGAGAGACCGGAAATTGAGGGGTGGAGTTCAGGGTCGGGATTTAAGATGATCTGGGAGGTTTGCCCCCAGAACTGCTTTAAAGTTGTTGAAGACAGGGAAGGTCCAAGCGATTCCGAGATCAGGGTATGTGATGGGGCGGGGCCCTGCAGGAGGTGCTCCTCCTGTGGCCCCTTCCCTTCCAGAACTCTGACCTTCCCAACCCTTCCCCCCTTAGGGGGATTTGATCCCCCATGGCCGCCGCTGACAGTGTCATTGTGCTGGATGATGACGACGAGGATGAAGCAACCGCACAGCCGGGGCCCTCCCACCTGCCCTCCAATACTGTCTCACCAGGGCCAGAAGCCTCTGGTCCCTCTGAGTCCCATGGGGATGGAGGAAGCAGTCAGTCAGGTGGCAAAAAGTGCTACAAGCTGGAAAATGAGAGGCTGTTTGGAGAGGTAAGCTTCTGAGAAGTCTTTTGTTTTTGAGACAGGGTCTCTGTGGCCCTGGCTGCCTGGAACTGTCTAGGTGAGGCTGGCCTTGAACACTAAGAGTTCCACTTGCCTCCTGACAGCTGGGATTAAAGGTGTGAACCTCTATGACCTGCTAGGGAAGATGGAAGGGGATTGGATTGGCTATTGTTCTGGCTTTCCCACTAATTCCATTTTTTTTTTTATGCCTTCCTTGTCTCCCACCATTCCCATGAACTCTCTCCAGTTCCTTGAACTGTGTAAGATGCAGACCGCGGACCACCCTGAGGTGGTCCCGTTCCTCTACAAACTGCAGCAGCGTGCCCAGTCTCTGTTTCTGGCCTCTGCAGAGTTCTGCAACATCCTTTCCCGGGTTCTGTCTCGGGCCCGGAACCGACCAGCTAAGCTCTATGTCCACATTAACGAGCTCTGCACTGTTCTTAAGGCGCACTCAGCCAAGAAGAAACTGAACTTGGCTTGTGCAGCCTCAGCGCCCAGCGAATCCTCTGGTGATAACCCTCCCTCTGCTCCCTCCTCCGACCTGACAACTGCTGAGAACACTGCCTCCGAGGCCTCAAGGACCCGTGGTTCCCGGAGGCAGATCCAGCGCCTGGAGCAGCTGCTGGCACTGTACGTGGCAGAGATACGGCGGCTGCAGGAGAAGGAGCTGGATCTCTCAGAACTGGATGACCCAGACTCCACATATCTGCAGGAGGCCCGCTTGAAGCGGAAACTGATCCGCCTCTTTGGGAGGCTGTGTGAGTTGAAGGGCTGCTCTTCTCTGACTGGCCGGGTCATAGAGCAGCGAATCTCTTACCGTGGCACCCGCTACCCAGAGGTCAACAGACGCATTGAGAAGCTCATCAACAAGCCAGGGCCTGATGCCTTTCCCGACTATGGAGATGTGCTGAGGGCTGTGGAGAGGGCAGCGACCAGGCACAGTCTGGGCCTTCCCAGACAGCAGCTCCAGGTCATGGCTCAGGATGCCTTCCGGGATGTGGGCGTCAGGTTACAGGAGCGCAGACACCTTGACCTCATCTACAACTTTGGCTGCCATCTCACAGATGACTACAGGCCAGGTAGGAAGCCACTGGGATACCTCCTATGGGTCCCTTAGGTCACAGAGGCTGCATGATCTGACCCCGCTTTCTCACACAGGCATTGACCCTGCACTGTCAGATCCCATATTGGCTCGACGCCTTCGGGAAAATCGGACATTGGCTATGAACCGGCTGGATGAGGTCATCTCCAAATATGCAGTGATGCAGGACAGAAGCGAGGAGGACGAGAGACAGAAGAGAAGAGCTCGGCTCCTGGGCACCTCTTCCCAGTCTCCAGGCTCCCCCAAAGCCTGCTTGGATTCTGGTGAGGTATGGAAGGGGCAGCACCTGTCAGAGAGATCTTGTCCTCAGCCTGCACTGACCACCAGGGCTTCCAGGGGGCTCATAGAGCAGTATGTGGAAGCATGGGAAGAACCAAGTCCTCCCTCGGGGGTGGAGATTTGTGGCCTGCCTCCCTAGCATTCTGGAAAAAGGAATTCTTTACAGAGACTCCTTTGTTCCCCAGGGTCCTAGTGGACTGGTGTCCCAGGAGTGCCCTACTACCTCTAGAGCTGAGACTGATGATGATGAGGAGGAGGAGGAGGAGGAGGAAAGTGAGGAAGAGGAGGAAGAGGATGAGGAAGAGGCCACTGAAGATGAAGATGAGGATCTAGAAGAGTTGCAGGAAGATCAGGGGACTGATGAAGAGGAAGAAGAAGGAGGTACATGTGTAAGCAGAACAGCCCTCTGGGTCAGTTCTGCTCTGTTGGGCCACCCCCCCCAGCTCCTTTGCACACACACACACACACACCCCTGCCCCAGTCCTCACTCCACCCCTCTCTTTTCTTTTCAGTTAATGAAGGAGAAAGCCCCAGGTCCCCATCTGAACCCAGGAAAGGGCTCATGTCTCCTGCTGAGCAGAAGAACAAAGGACTTAGAGGGCCAGCAGCATCGCCCCTGGGAGAACCCCTGGGAGAATCCCCAGACCCTCCCAGCGGGGAAGCAGAAAGCAGTGGGGAACAGCTCCTGGAAGAAGAGAGTCCTGGGTCCCAGCTTTTTGAGCGAGAGATAGAAGCCTTGCCTGAGGATGCCACCCCATCCCCTGAGGAAAAGGACATTTCCGTTTCCAGGAAACAGTCAGAAGACTCCCTCCCCCCCATCTTGGAAAATGGGGCAGATGTGGTTACCTCTACATCCTTCAATGGGCGTGTTGTCTCTTCTCACACTTGGCAAGATTCCAGTCCCCCCTGCAAGAGATCTCGGAAGGAGAAGCAACTGGGATCTGGACCATTAGAAGACAGGTAACAGCAGGCGGAAGAAGAAGGAAGACAAGGAGCTGGGGCTTTCTGATAGCAGACCCAGTTCCGCACCGGGCAGTCTGCAGCACAGGCCCCTTCCCATCGTTCCTTAATTCATTCTCTTTATCCTTAGCTATCTAGAGAAGCAGACAGCTCAGCAGGGAAATGGGAAGAGCGAATGGACTCCCTTGGCCCCCCTGGCTCCTGTTGCTGATTCCTCCACAAGGGTGGACTCTCCCAGCCATGGCCTAGTGACCAGCTCCCTCTGCAGCCCCTTCCCATCTCTGAGAGCCCAAACTCCTCAGTCTCCATTTCCCCGACCTTGTATTTATAAGGTAAGCTGGGGCTGCTATGTTCCCCTGAGAATTTATTTCTTACTGTCCCTTGCCTCTCTGCGGGGTACTGCACCTGCCGCCTCTGTTTCCCTGTCCTGTGTCTCTGTGTGTGTGTTTAGGTTCATTCCCTGTCCTGTGTCTCTGTGTGTGTGTGTGTTTAGGTTTATTCCCTGTCCTGTGTCTCTGTGTGTGTGTTCAGGTTTATTCCCTGTCCCGTGTCTCTG